GTAGTTTATTAGCACAAAAGAAAGCTCTCTCTGAGAGGGGCTTGAAGAGAGGAGATTGTGGTGGACCCGCATCCAGGGGTTTATGTGTGGACTATGGTGTGGATACAAAACAATGCAGTCACCACTTTTAGAGAGGTCCCTGACGTCAGAAGGGCAGACGTCCCCATACCCTACCTTCCCAGGGCTTATTATCATCTCCACTTACCTTACCTATTTTTGTATTGCCTAGCATTATGTGCAGTGAACTTTGCTAGTTGTTAGAGAAGTTTCGTGGAAGAGTAAGACTTTATTGTAGGGATTAAAAAGGAGTGTCAGTAAAAGTCCCTTCTTTTTCCTCCTGATTTAGTTTGGAAGCCATTGTGAGATGTTTAGTCATGAGAAAATTACAATATTAGTTTAGTTTAATGGAAAACCCAGATGGGCCATTCTACGTCAGACAGGTGGTGAGAGTGGGTCTCCCGTTGTAGAACTTTAGAATCTGGCAAATGCTCCTGTGGAAGGGCTGAACCCCCTGGACTCAGCTGCCACCCAGGGCCTCTCCCCTGTGCAGACGGGCAGATCCCCTAGGTCAAGGGAGGATGGCCACAGACTTCCACTGTCTTCATAGAGAAGAGAGCAAGGGCTAGGTCCACGGGATAACCCTGCTCAAGAAAGCTGGAGGAGTGAAGTGGGCACTTCTGTGCTTCCCTGAGAAACCAAGGCTGCCAGTGACTGATTCTATGGAGCAGAGAGTCACAGCGCATTACAGAGGTGGATGGGGGCCGTCTGGGAGGGCTTTGCAGAAAACACGGTATTTGAAGTGGGCATTAAACACAGGAAAGACAAAAGCGGGGGCATTACTGGAGTGATGGGAAGACGTAACCAAAGGCATATACACATTTGGGAGTTCTGCGCGTGGATCGAGCACTAGGTAGCGCAGCAGACAGCACACAGGCCCATGCTGGCAGCGAAAGAGCCAGAACAACATGTGTGACTTAATCAGCTGAGGGCTGTGGTAAACTGGGACATGTTGTCCCTTTTCATACAGTCCTGACTGCCTAGCTTCAGCTCTTTGTGCCATGTGGGTTTAAAGTTGCCAGATATTCCAATGTTTCATAAAAAGTGAGAATCTGACTTTTTTTTTTGAAAGCTTCCAATATATAGATATTAACAATTCACTTAAAATAAACAACTCCCAGGGGCTGGGGAGATGGCTCAGTGGAATAAGTGCTTCCTTGGCAAGTGCAAGGGCCTGAGTTTCATCCCCAGTTCTGCAAAAAAACAAAAAACAAAAACCAAACAAACAAAAAACAACCCTAAAACTAAAATAAGCAACTCTCTCAAAATTTAGTGTAAACCAAAGAAAAGTGTACATGCAAGCTCAACCTGGCTTTGTGGAAACAATTTTCAAAAGCCAGGGGACAAAGAAAGAGAAAGGCCAACCAGGCCCAAAGAATAGCTAGATGCTAAATGGTAGAGCACCTCAGATGGCAAGCATGAGTTTATGTTTAATTGCATTGGGAGATTTTGAGACTGAACGTAAATTATTGCTTTTGTGATTTAGGAAGATTCATCCAAGCATGCTGAGCAGGCTGGATTGTAATGGGAAGAGGCTGAGGTGGGGAAATCACTCAGGTCATCATGGAAATCAGGGCCGGAATCTGGGAGTTGGAGGTAGAAGTAGAAATGGGAAGGAGGGACTGCATTATGGATAGAAGACGAAGGACTGAAGGTGAGTCGCATAAATATAGGATGTCAGGGAAGGAAGGATCAAAACTAATTGAGATTTCTGCTCTTAGCAATGAGAATCTCACAGGCAGAGGTGCTAGTTTGGGAGAAGTGCAACTCTGGGTATATCAAGTTGGAGTTGTGAGCAGGATAGCCTCATAGAGAAGCCAAACATGGATTTGAAACATTGGTCTTTAGTTTTGAGAAGATACTAAAGCTAGAACCTTGAGAAACACTTGCTTTCCTAATATAAAGAGAAAAAA